TTCTACAAGCTGCATCTGACTATGTCAGATGAGCTAAAAACTAACCAGGAACTCTTGACTAGCCGTTAGATGGCGCCACGCATGCCGTGTAAGCGTCGACAGCGTCACATCCCCCACAGGCATCGGTACTGCCCTGATTTGACCATTCCGCGCGAGGTTTCTCGACGTTTCTCTTCTTTTGACAGTACTACCCCGCTTTGACCGTTCCGCGTCTTTCTTCTCGTCTTTCGACAGTACGACCCTCGGTTCGGGGATCCGTTCTGGAACAGCAGCAAGCAGGGCATGATCGAGTATCTCATCATGATGATGACAAGTTGGGCAATCGTCTGCGACGTCTGGTTCCTCCCGCCCATGACCATCGAGGTACCACCGTCGCTTTTTATAAGTGTTTATTCTGGCACGACGTCGTGTTTATTATTCTGTCACGATCCTTGTTAGTATCGTCGCGTGACGTAATCAGTTCACGCCGCGTTTGTTATTCTGTCGCGATTGTTGTTAGTATCGTCGCGCGACATAATCAGCTCACGCCGCGTTTGTTATTCTGTCACGATCCTTGTTAGTACCGTCGCGCGACATGATGAGTTCACGCCGCGTTTGTTATTCTGTCACGATTGTTGTTGACCTGTCCGCCGTGTCAGTTATAACATACTCAGCATATGTTATTCTGTGTCATGTTAATCGACCTTGACCTGTCTGTCTGAATAAAGTGACCACGCCCCTTGGTTACCATTGCTAGGAAAGTCAAGCTAGGCAGAATCGAATCTAATAATGCTTTTAATTTTCAATGATAGGAGGGCGAAAATTCAATAGATTTTGCAAACAGAGTGAAAGGAGAAATCGCAAAGAAAGGAGGTCTTGTTGACTTAGTTTGGTGAGTACCAGTAATCGAATGGAATGGTGGCACCAGTAATTATATATCTCTGATATTGTTGTTGATGTTCTGCAAAATATTTACGGATATTTAGATTTAATCTAAACAAAGTGTTGGCAAAATACAAGTGCGTAAACATTTGTAGACCGAAGAGTTATACTATATACATATATATATATATATATCAGGAGC